GGCTGGTCGTGAAGCTTCCTGAGCTAACCTCCGCTTTTCATAAAACGCGTAGATCAGCGGTGCGGATGCTTTCAAATCTGCGCCTGAAATCCACCAAGTGTCGCCGCGATCGCATGCTTTGAATGCGGCGCGCGTATGGGTACGTTGTGAAGCTTCTTGATTTAATTAGGGCTAAAACAATATTTTTACCTTTGATTAAAACATTTGACTGTGGCGCGCGTATGGGTACGATGGTGGCTTGCCGTGGCCAGGATCGGGTTTTACCGTCAGTATCTTTTTTTTTTTTTTTTTTTTTTTGGAAGGAACTTGGAGTCGTGTGGTACGCAGGACAGAGAGGCGTTTTGACTGGTCGTATGGCGACATGGCTTCGCCATAGTGAGCAGAATGCGCGGCAGCCGCGGGCGTAACCAGGCCCCTCATGCGCTAGGTGTCAGGGGTCGACAGCCGCAGGTTCGGCGGGAGTAGGACAAGGCGTTGGCTTGGGGCGTTTGAGTGTAATCGTGCAACAAGCAGAACCAACTCATATAGGTTTCCGCTAGTGCCAATGCCAGCCTTGGTCATAGCACTATTGGTTATGGTAGTGGACTTTCAAAGCGGAGGTACAAGGATCGAGGGCGGGGACCAGTGGTGATGGAGCGTTGGAACGATTGAAGATGTCGAGGGGTTGAGGGCCCGGCGGGGCTATTTCCCCTTGGTTTTGTTGTCGGGCCGTCCGTGGGCCCGGTCGACGGAATTGAGAGGGGCGTCGACGGTCTCCCCTCCCCAAAGCACCGGTTCCCGATGTTTGTATTTTATTTTTGTTTTGCTCTTATTTTTTTATTTTTCTTTAGTTATTTTAGTTGCTGGTCCCGCTTCTGGGTCGTGGTACCAATGTTGGTATCAGGATCGTTTGCGGGACCAGTGGGCGTAGCTCAATTGATACGTCCATGAACTGTTGAAACGCGGGCCGATGAATTCAACGTGCATGCCACGAGGCAAAAGAAACCTGAGTGGCGGGGACCCTTCGCAGTACACCATCTGCCAACCTCGATCTGGTGAGAGAGGTTTGAATGTGGGTGTGCGCCGTCCCACTTCTTGCTGGGTGAGGTTTGAGGGTGGGCATGCCCGTTGGAACCCAAAAGACGGCGAAATGTGCCTGGGCACAGTGGCAAAGGGCGCAGATTGTGCACGACTGCGCACATGGGATCCTTCCCCACTCCAGTTTTCAGAAGTTCTTATTTGAATTTTGCTGCCATCACCAAGATTTGCACCTGGACCCGCCTCACTTAGGCTCGTGCTACAGGCTTTGCAGCGGGCCTGCGCCCTTCTACTCGTCCGGGTGTCAGAATGAATGGCACTGAAGCGCCCAACCAATGCTCCGGGGCTGGCTAGGCAACCAGCAGCCTGGTACAGTTGGTACACCTATGAACTGTCAAAAATACAGACCGAAAGTTTACCACAAATGTCCTATTTTTATTACTTATTTATTTTTTTATTTTATTTATCTTTGTTCACGAAGAGTTCTTGCGCAAGATTTGTGGGTGGCGCCGTGCAACCAGCAAAGTACCAATTAGCCATTTCTGCAGGCGGGCAGGGCCTTGTCCCATCTGAAAAGGTACAGCGGTGCGACCCCTTGGAATCCGAAAGATGATGAACTGTGCCGTGGGTACAGTCTGCCCGAAGGCACCAGTGGGAGGCTGCCACAGTGTTTGCTGTGTGGCAGGCTGTCCTGGAAGCTGTGCACATGGAACCCTTACCCACACTTCGGTCTTCAAAGTTTCTTTTGAATATTTGCCTACTGCCACCAAAATCCGCGCTTGGAACCCGAAAGATGGTGAACTGTGTCCTGGGCACAGTCCAACAGAGGGCACCAGTGGGAGGCTGCCGCAGTGCTTGCTGTGCGGCAGGCTGTTCCGACAGCTGGTAAACAAGGCATGAGCATAAAAGGGCCATGGGTACTGTGGTAAAAACCCACAGCGATACTGATCTGCAAATTGTCCTTCGGACCTGGGTATAGGGTGGAAGACTACTCGGGCCACCTAGTTTCTGATTCCCTCTGAAGCTTCCCTCGGGTAGCCGGAGCTGAGCGGGGCGCAGTCTGCGACTGCACCGTCTGCCAACCACGATCTGCTGTGAGAGGTTTGAGTCTGCGCATGCCCAATGGGACACAAAAGAAATGGTGGGCTAGGCTTGGCCCAGTGGGCCACGGGCGCTGTGGCAGGAATTCGCAGCAATACTGCTGCAAATCATTCGTCAGACCTAGTAGTTGTTTCCCCACAAAAGTTTCCTCAGAGTGGCTGGAGCTGATTTAGCGCTTCCACTATGTTGCGGTGGGACCGAGCGCATGGCTCTTGCTGTCTCCCGTCACCATGGTTGATCCTGCCAGTAGTCATATGCTTGTCTGAAGGATTAAGCCTCGCCGGGAGGAGGAGATGAAGACGAGAAGACGAAGGGGGAGAACAAAAAGGAGGCGACAAGAGGCACGAGGGAAAGAAAAGAGTGAGAGGGAGGTCGAATGAACCTGGGCGCAGGTCCATGCCAGGTGCGTTCAATATTGAAGACGTCAACAGCCACGAAGGCAAGGGCTATGGCGGAGGTGAAAAGCTATACCCCACTCGTTTCTTAACAAAAACGAGTGGGGAAAGGTGGTACATGGGGGTTTGGGGGGCTGGCGACCACGAATCTGAGCGTAGAATTAGTAGAGAGTAAGTAGAAACGGAGTTAGAGTGAAAACGTGGTGCGCGGAGTAGTCGGGGAGGAAGGAAAAAGAACGAGCTACAACTAAAATCATGTATCTCGCTCCTTCCTTCATGGAATCGAGCGAGACAAGATGCTAAGTGGGGGTTTCGAGGCGGTCCGGATCAAATGGATGCGGCAGAATCTTGATTCGGGCATCTGTCTAACCGCTACGAGGGGTAGGGGCTGCGGGGCTGCGGGGCAACTAGGGGAAGTTACAAACATGGTCGTGCACCTTCCCATATTTCAGAGGAAGATTCATCACGGCTTGTATGGGTGGTGAGGAACGATATCGGCGCCCGGGCGGACTCACCTGTCATCTCTCGCGACCGTGACTTCAGGTCGTGATGGTAGTTTCACTCCGCAGCCACCTTCATTGTTTCTGTACGAGCCGCCTTTGATTTGTGGGCCATCTTCAAGCTCCGATGGTCTCCTCCCCGTGTCGTGCTCATGCGGGTGCGCGGGCGTGTGTATCTCCTTTAAGTGATTCAGAGAAAAACATAGGGAGCACGAATAAGGTAAGAGGCGGGACAATAAAGGAAGGAAGGATCGAGGAAGAGAAAGAAGGGATCGAATAGATCAGGCGCAAAACTTGAAGCAGGAAAGGGGGGAACATAGGATAATTTGGTGATGTATCTTCCCATCTTCTGGCGGAAAATTCATTCTCATTTTGCACATTTTTGTGAGTAGAATCGCGGTGCACAGGTTCGGATCAGCGTTGTTCCTAGTATTCAACGGCTCAACTAGCTGCTCGATGTGATCGGGCCATTCCTCGTGGCCACGACGTCGTCCAACGTGTCCGCCCCCTGCTGAGACTATCGTCGTGTTTGCCTTGCCACGGTGGTCGTCTTCTTTGCCACCACGTTCCCAGTGTTGATTCGGTATCGATGGCTCATGAGCGACTGCAATACTGCTTGCGGTCGTCCTCACTCTCGAGAACGCTCGTTGGGATGACTGTGTCTCGTTCTTCCTAAACTGTGAGCAGCTGAAGAAAAATGAACCTGGTAGGAGTTATGCCTGGCGTAGAGAGAGAGAGAGAGAGAGAGAGAGAGAGAGAGAGAGAGAGGGGGGAGGGAGAGAGAGAGAGAGAGAGAGAGAGAGAGAGAGAGAGAGAGAGAGAGAGAGAGAGAGAGAGAGAGAGAGCAACGAATGCTAACAGGCACACCATGCACGTCTCAGTGTGAGCACTTTGCACTGCGAAACGACGAATAGTTCATTAAATTCAGATTTCCTTTATTTGGTGAACTCCTCACCACTTGGATAGCCGTGGTCATTTTAGAACTAATATGTGCAGCATATCCCGACTTTTGGAAGGAATGTATTTATTGGAGGAAAGGTAAGTTCACTTAGTTCGGGCTTAGCTTGAGCTGCCGTATCTGACCGAGGTCGCGGCCAGATTCGGTGAGAGCAGGATATCAGCAAAGTGGGGAGAGACAGGAAGGGGATTGCTGATCTTGCGTGACACTCCCCTATGGTTCTAGCAGGAAACTCACCCTCATTTTGCGTGGTACCGGGCGCGACAGTGGGTAGATTCGGTGACCTGCATCTTCCTACGTTTTAGTAGGAGATTGATTGTTATTCTCCACTTTTGGTTAGCCCATAGACGTGGACGTTGCTGCTCAGTAGCATGAACGGTTGTTGCTTGCTCCTACGGTTGGGCAGCGGTCAGACTTGTAGTAGTTGCCCGTTCTCCTCTGTTGCAGCTACTCTGCAGTTATAGCCCATCCCAAGTGTCATTGATGAGTTCTACGAGTGTACTACCGACCTTCCATGTTTTGCTGAGAGAGGTTTGAATGTGAGCACGCCTGTTGGGAGCAAGGAACGGTTAACACTGCCAGCCACGGCGCCAAAGAGCAGCAGCTGCCGCCACAATCGAGCTAGTGTATCTGCTGCTCCCACTTGCTTGCTCGTTGTCCTGCCTGGTTGGTACATGACCGCCCTTCGTTGGTAGAGTGAATGCGGTCGGAGATTTGCAAAGGATGTGAGGGCGCATACCTGCTCATTATGGAGACTAGCACATTGACCTGGTTGCTGCTGTTGCATGCTCAGACGGTGCATAATTGCTCTGACAACAGACTGATATCGTAGTTGTGGGATTTCAGGTCTGCGTTGCTGCTAGACACCCACAGGCTTCAAACAACGAACAGCTAAGTTCCTCGGTACAGCCTCACTGCGTTTTTGCAGTGTACTTACTGCACGGCATGCTGCTACTGATGATGAACTGTGCCACTGCATAGAGCTGTTACTGTTGTGGTCCACTAGTTGATTGTTGAGCTACTGACGTTGCTGGTCTGTGCTACTGTCGGGCGTTCTGACTATTGGTCCGTCCGGCCGTGCTGCGCTTTGTTGTGCATGGCGCTGTATGTAGCCTGCTCCTCGCTATGCACTGCTGTTGTTGCGCATGTTGTTGAGACTAGTCCTAGGTGTAGCTAGGTGAAGGACGACGGTGCTTATGTTTAGTGTTGTGTGGTGCCATGGTGCCCAGGTTGCTGCGTGCGCTTACCATGGGTGCAGTTTTTAGTTAAAATTAATTGACTTTTGACTGCGGTGCAATTAAAGGTGTGCTCTATTTGAGCGCGGTCCATCTAAGACTGTGAAGCGGAGGATTCAATTAAAAAGGGACAACATTGTGATTGAGAGGGATTTGTTGCTGCAAGTTGGAGGGTCGTCAAGGGGAGGGTCAACAATCAGCAGTTGACAGTTTGACCATCTGCTGCTCGTTCTGGTCGCCATTGCGGGGGCCCTCAGGAGCATCGAGATTTCAAGGCCCTCTCCTGCGAGTTGAATCTGTCCCTCTCTTGTATCTCGAGCGTCTGAAACCCCTCCTTCTGCCCTTCTCACTCTAAGTCTAGTCTAAGGTTACGAGAGGAAGGTGGCAGGCGGGATTGCAACCCGTAGGACCACATCAAGGCTCTGTGGGGAGTCTGCCCACCGATTGGGGGAGTTCTGTCGGAACTCAGGAGGAGTTCTGGAGGCAGGGAACCAAGAGGTAATTCTTTGGCTCCTTCTATAAACCCCTGTTAAACCCTTATGAATATATCTCTCTATGAATGTCTGATTATACTGAATGCATCCTTATACATTTTATGTTTGACTTTCCCGGACTAAGTCAGAATAAAGTAAAGGAATGCATGCGCAAACTTTAGTCTTCTTCTTTCTTTTGCTTGTTTGAAGTCAGACAGAGAGGGATGAACTGGGGTTGTTTTGCCTGCAATGATTGGGTCTCCTTTGTTTATTTTTATTTTCTCTGCAGCCAAGCAATGTGGCTTCGGTCAGGCTTAATTGTCGTATTGTTCGTGTTTCTGACATTCAGACAATGTGGCTTCAGTCAGGTCTGATTGTCATACCCCTGTAAGTTGTTATCTAAGCAGCCAGACAATGTGGCTTTGGCCAGGCCTGGTTGTTGTGGTTATGGTGGTTTGCTTGCTGAAAGGGTTTAAGAGTTGGGTAATGTGGCTTCGGTCAGATCCAGACGGAGGACTAAGCAATTTGGCTTCGGTTTGGCTTAGTCTGAAGTCACTCACATAAGGAGAAAACTGAAAATATGATTTTATATATATATTGTCAAATAGAACTGCCCGGTAAACCGTAGGCAGAGAGGGAGAAGAGGACAACAAACGAGGGGCTGTGACAAACTGTTTCGTCGGAGTTTCACCGACTCATCAGGAGGCTGAACCCTCAACAGTCTGTAGAATCCCCTCACTGATTACACTGTAAGTGATAATCCACCTTAACCAAAATCAAAGTAGACTATCACTCACCCACACCAGATGGAAAACTCTACAGACTATCGGTTCACACCCCATCACAAGCCAGCAAAACACCCACGAAACAAAGAAAGGTCTGTCACAGCCAAAAAATACACTCCAGACACGCCGCTGGCACTAGAGGCACAGCATGGCCACGTAGTGACGGCCCCGACCACTGCCGCTCGACTTGACCGGAGAAAACCGTAGCAGGAAGCTAGCGAAGTCGTAGTATATATTGTCAAATAGAACTGCCCGGTAAACCGTAGGCAGAGAGGGAGAAGAGGACAACAAACGAGGGGCTGTGACAAACTGTTTCGTCGGAGTTTCACCGACTCATCAGGAGGCTGAACCCTCAACAGTCTGTAGAATCCCCTCACTGATTACACTGTAAGTGATAATCCACCTTAACCAAAATCAAAGTAGACTATCACTCACCCATATATATGTCATATATTTTTGTTATTGAACAGGCTAGTCAGACAATGTGGCTTCGGTTTGGTCTGACTATAGCTTATCACAAAAAGGAGAAGATAATATTTAATTAAGAATACAAAAAATGTATTTTAAGGCAGACTGAGCAATGTGGCTACGGTTTGACTCAGTCTTAGTCTTCAAAAGATAAAAGGGGTTCAAAGAGTTATTATAAATCTGGATATTAAACATTTGGTAGGGCTAGACAATGTGGCTTCGGTTTGGTCAAGTTAACTGCCCAAAGCAGAAAGAAGTAGTAGTGCCCTCTGTTTTGTATATACGAAGGCGGAGGTTAAGCAATGTGGTCTCGGTTTGGCTTAACCTTCTTATGCCATATGTAAGCTAGGGTATTGGGGTTTTACTCAACTGAGAGGTAATTGCGAGGCTTATGCCCCTATGAGCCCTTTTTTAGGCCCTGCCAAGCATCACGTCGGCCCCTAAGTGAAGGCAGGCACGACAAGGGCATGAGGGCCCCTATTTCGGTCACCACGCAACTCAGGGAAATTCAGGCAGTTGCGCAGCGCCAGTTGGTTGGAAGAACCCACGCCCTGGGCAGCCTGTGTGAATGTATCGAAGGCAGGCCCTGGGCTGGATAGAAGATGTGGGCCTAACACAGGCCGTTGACAGTTGGGCGCGAGCAACCACTACAGGCCCAGGGCTTGAGTTGTGTGGACTGGGCCTCAGCCTACCGGGGCCTACCGGAAGCTTCTTGGGAAAGGCCCAATGCAGCCTGGTACAACAAGCAGGTAGGCCACTTCCATATAGCAAAGGGCCTGCCTCCGCATTTGGCATTCGGGTGCTGGCTGCATGCTGCGCTAATAGCTGGCCGGCGCTCACGCGCTCACGAGTGAGAAGGAAGGAGCAGGCAGCCATAGTCGAGTTGGGCTGTTGTAAGTTGGGTGTGACGCAGGGTGGTCCTTGGGTGCAAGTGGCATCTGTGTGTTGGGGAACGAGGTTGTGAGTGAGGCGAGAGACATACCTGGTGTTGGAAGCGTGCGACATTGGTCGTTGTATCCTCGTACTTCGGGAAAGTTGTTGACGTCATCTTTGGCATTGTAGTATAGGCTAGATAGGATCTGCCATATGTAGTCTAGGCGTCAAGCGCCAGATAGAATATCAACATTGGTTTTTCGTTGATGATGATGATGAGACAATTTCAGCATTGTAAATTATGAGCTTTTGGTGTGTTCTTATTTGGTGAAACTCGTGATGCAATTTTGCAGTTGGTTCGAGGTCACGACTATCTGGTCTTGTGTATATGATGCTATTTGATTGCTGAAGTTCGCTTTTGCTCATCTTCCTTGCAATTTGGTATCAGAGTTGTGGTACGATTGCGCTCATCTGGCGCTTGTCTTCTGCCTAATGCGGTACATACATGCGGTCTGCTTGGTGAGTTGGGCCGTAAGTGGTGTGTAGTGAGGAGGGCGGAGACGAGTAAGTGGTGACCCAGGAGGTGAGGGGATCGCCAGGAAGGCTACGTGGTGTAATGTGGGTCTGGACAGCGTGATGAGAACTATCTGATGTGCGATTGGTGTTGAGGTGGAACGGCGTGCAATGCTGGTTGTGCCGAAGCAATGACTGGTCATCACAATCGGCATCAGGTCATCTAGTGAGATTATCTCTATGGTTGGGCGCAGCTATTTGAGGTACGTTGCTCTTAACCTTATCTACCCTCTTCGACACTTCTTACCGTGAGGTTGTGTGTTCCTTCTTGAGAGTCCTCTCATTGTGAGGAGTCGAGTGCGCTCAACCTTGAGAGTATCTGGGGGAAGATGGGCGGAGCTTTCTGAAGGGCCCTGGATGAAGCACTGAGTCACGGTCACCATGCCAACCCACCGGGAGTAGAGCACGCATGCTTTGCTGCTTGTCCTTTGTTCGACTTGTTGCGCTGTTAGATGGGTACTGAAGGGCAGGCCAACCCTATGGGAGACGAGACCGGGCGTCTTTACATAAGCACCGGAAGGGGAAACCATTGGTTGTGATCGTCGTCCTGCTGCGATGTAAAATAATTCCTAATGACACTTGGGGGCGGTCGTTAAATTGCCTCTGGATCAGCCAATGGTTGTAAGGCTCGCTGCACGCGAGGATAATTCAGTGCAGGGCTGGCCAGCTCAGTAGATACTCGGGGCACAGGGGTGGGCCGAACACACACCTTTTAGACATGCAACGCTCTCCGGATTGCTCAAGAACGTTGACGTCAAGTGACACTCAGGGGAATTGAGGGAGGGGAAGATTTCTCGAAAAAAAATTCATACTGTCCTATCCACACAAATGATTTTATTTTTATGTTTTGATTAGTTAGATGTACAGTAATTTGACATCTGACAGACAGCATAATTAGAACTGTCTTTGTTCACTGTGCATTCTGTTTGCGGACTAATCAAACTAAAAATAGTTTCGTTTGTAGGAATCTGACTTACCTGTTGGACCTGAATGTATAGTCTCTGATACAACCACCAATTAATTAGTTGTTTATTTTAAATTGGTCTGTGCATTACACTGCGGTAGGCATCTAGAGTGCACAGGTGCAGATTGTGTGCACTGTTGTAGCTTATAAGCGACAGGGAGGACACTAAGGAGGACGACCGAATCTTGCGATCGGCTAGACACCCGATTGCCCACTTGGCATTAGGACCAGAGGGAGACAGATACCTGTTCCGTCAGCGTAGGGAGAGGCTGCAGAAGCAGAGGAGAGCTAGAGCAACAGAGGCTAGCAGGGCACTAGTAAGTGAAGCCGCATCTTCGAAAGCAAAGGCCACTTCTGCGCAGCAGACTACCCAGGCTAGCAGTTCAGGTTCTGTTGGGTCAACGGTCGCTCAGACCCAGAGTCAGTCCGCTGGCGTAATGGCAAGCCAACCATTGGCGATGACACCCGAGGAGGTCGCCATACAGCGAGCTGCTGCTCGCAAGGCACAGCTACAGCAGGCTTTAGGCGAGATTAAGGCTGAGAAAGAGAGAATGATTAGGAGAAGAGCCAGGATGCAACGGAGAGAAGCAAACGTTAGTGAGTTAGAGGAGATGGATCTGACGCACATGAGTGACGAAGTGAGGACCATACGGCCTGTCCTGCTAGACGTAGTTGAAATGCAGGACCACCAGACAGCCCTCCTTCAAGACATTCAGCAGAGTCTGGCCGTATTGGTCGGACGAGCTCAGTTTGCGCCATCGCCGTCCAGGCCAGGTGCCTGGCCCGTTGCACATCCTCCTCCTTTTGTCCCACCGGTGAATAGGGTATCCCCATACACAGCCCCAACATCGGTTCAGACCGGTTCCCTGGGCATGCCGCTATCAGGAGGGATCTCAGCAGGTCCTAGTTTGCAGGTTCCTGTACAGCCAGTGTATTCCCAACCTCCGTTGCAGATTTCAGTTACAACGCAACCTGATGTCTCGCAGCATGTACAGCCGCAGGGTACACAACCCCTGCAGCCAGTGCAGCCGCCTGTATCTCAGGGTCCACAGCCCAGTGGGATGCAGGGACCGGGACAAACTCAGTGGGTACCAGAGACAGCCATCGCTGCTCCTAAACCCTTCACAGGGGATAAGAGGGGCGAAGACCTCGACACTTGGTTGAAGGCAGTGCCGGTCTATGTCAAGTGTAAACTCACCTTGTCGCACGAGGAAGTGCTTGTGGCTGCATCCTACCTAGAGGGTAGTGCAGCAAAGTGGTTGAGCGGTTTAGTACAACTACAGGGATACGGTCACAACTTTCGCTCTTGGGCGGTCACACAGCAATTGGATGACTTCCTCAAGTTGGTGGAAGAAAGGTGGCATGATCCTCAGGAGGCCCAAAAGGCCACTGATGCGATCCTGACACTGCACACGATGCAGTTAAAGTCAGTAAGGGAGGCCACCGACGCTGTAGAGCATCTGATTTGTGTCCCTGGGGTGCGCTATGACCCCCAGGTTTTACTCAGCTCCTGCCTGAGATGCTTTCCCATGCCTCTCAGGAATCAGTTGGCAGGTGAGGCCAACATCAATGTTCACAACTTCCCCTCGTTTAGCAAGAAGGCCCTAGAGGCGAAGATAGGGCATGGGAAGGCACCCACTACGGATGGTAGGAAAAAGTCACTGCCTCCCAACTGGAAGGCGAAGGGTCGCATAATGTTTGTTGATAACGATGGTTCCACCATCGAGTTAGAGGACAACTTCCAGGAGGGCGTAGGTTCATAGGCTGGCAGCGCTGAAGCTTCAGGGGGTGGAGTTGTCGCTGCCGTAGCTCAAAAAGGTAAGGCGACCGGTAGACGCAGTGGAGGCTCCCGGTCAAGGAGTCAAGTTGACCCCAACGCTCCCCCATGGGAGAAGGCGGGTCTCACAGAGGATGTGTGGAGAGATAGATACACCCGGCAGGCCAGTATTCGATGTGGTCAATATGGCCACAACAATTCAAGTGCCACAATAAGAAGGTGACAGAGAAGATCCCGCCTACGATGGGGCAGGCGTTGGGATCCTCCACTCCCGTTGGTAGCAATGTAGCTAGTACTTCTGGCACTGCTTCGGGAAACACGTCGGGCCAGTAGGAATAATAGTTGTTCCTACTAGGGCCGAGGTGGTGGATACACCCTCACCATCTTGAGAGATGGCCCAAGCTACTGACTCCAGCGTCGTCCCGCAAACACGTTCAGACCCATCGAGCCTTTGTTCGATGAATGTGTTTGAGTCCTCAGAGGAGCTAGAGGAGGAGTGGTCTAGATCAGACCCGCTAGCTTCTTGGACGGCCCTGGTCAAAGCCCCGAAGGGTGAGATGTTCGTCAGCGAGGTGGTCATTGGCGGCCACAAGGCCGGGGCCTATTATGACACTTGCTCGACAAGGAACTTTATTAGTCGCGCGTGCGTTGAGAGGCTGCACTTACAGGGGCAAGTGCAGCACCTAAGTCGACCTGTGGAGTCGACCTATGCCAACAAACAGCGCATGGTAGTTAATGACTACCTCCAAGATGTTGAGTGTTGTTTCCTGTACGCGGGAGGGGAATTGAGACATCGCGTCTCGTTCCTAGTGAGCGGTGAACTCCCCATGGACATGTTGAAGGTATGTACTACCTCTCTGTGGAACAGCCCCAGTTTGACTGGGACCGAAAAGTGGCCAAACACACTTTGCCAGGTGGAGGGACCGCTAGATTACATAAGTTCAAAGCTAGTAGTCTGATTGAGTCCCACGGATGCATGTGTGCGGCCGCGTTCTATAACTATTATAAGCAAAATCKGGAGGAGGGTATGTATCTAGTTTATGTCTCTGCTGCAGGCGAGCCGGTGAAAATGACGCCGGAGATAGAGAGAGTAGTTGCCAAGTACCCTGATCTATTTGAAGAGCCGACAGGGGTTGTAGAGAGGGAGGTCGTCCACGCGATAGAGATTATGCCAGGGTCTAACATCCCGAAGGGTAGGATCTATCGGATGTCTCCAGGCGAGCTCGATGAGCTTCACCGACAACTCAAGGAACTCGTAGAGAAGGGATGGATCCGGCCGAGTGTCTCTCCTTATGGGTCTCCAATACTTTTCGTGCCTAAGAAAAAGGAAGGGACACTGAGGATGTGCATTGACTATAGGGGCCTCAATGCCATCACTGTCAAGAACAGAGAGCCCCTACCCCGCATCAACGATTTGCTAGATAGAATGCAAGGGTGTCGGTACTTCAGTAAGATAGATCTAAAGTCCGGGTACCATCAGATTGCCATCCGGCCCGAGGATCAACATAAAACCGCATTTCAGACCAGGTACGGTCTGTACGAGTTTGTGGTGATGCCTTTCGGCCTTTGCAATGCTCCTGGCACCTTTCAGCACGCTATGAATCGGATCTTTCATGACTACTTGGATAAGTTTGTCATCGTGTACCTCGATGACATATTTATTTTTAGTAAGACTGTCGAGGAGCACGTTGCGCACTTGGACAAAGTCCTGAGTCTCCTACGACAGGACAAGTTCAAGATCGACGGTGAAAAGTGCGAGTTTGGCCGCTCCCGTGTCTTGTACTTGGGTCATGAGATTTTTGCGGAGGGACGCGAAGGTGGCCAGCATTCGTGACTGGCCGCGTCCTTAGTCTGTGATTGAGATGAAATCTTTCTTAGGGATGACCGGCTACTATCGCAACTTCGTGCAGAACTATAGCATAGTTGCCGCCCCTTTGACTGATCTGACCCGCCTTGACACCCCATGGGAGTGGACCGAGAGATGCGAGGCTGCTTTCAGACATCTGAAGCATGCGTTGACGCATTACGAAGTCTTGAAACTTCCTGATCCTGACAAGCCATTGATAGTGACTACGGATGCTAGCCAATATGGCATAGGCGCCGTACTTGCACAACAAGAGGGGAAAAAGTTAAGGCCAGTTGAGTACATATCCAAGAAAATGTCGTCTCAGAAGTTGGCTAAGTCCACCTATGAGAAGGAACTCTACGCGGTGTACAAGGCTCTGACCCATTGGAGGCACTATCTCCTTGGGAAGTTCTTCATCTTCAGGACTGATCATCAGACCCTGAGATGGATGAGAACTCAGCCGGTACTCTCTGACACTCTCAAGCGTTGGATCGAAGTCATAGAGCAGTATGACTTCGAGCCCCAGTACATTAAGGGCGAGTACAACAAGGTTGCTGATGCCTTGACGCGTAGACCTGATTTCTCAGGTGCGCTGATTACTGAGTTCAATCTTGCGGACAATGTTACTCAGTCCCTGGTGGAGGCCTATCGCGAGGATCCATTTATGTTTGAGATCATCCGCAGACTCGAGGCAAAGGACAAAGGGACTTCTGTCGAGTTTGAGTTGGTCAACGGCTTGCTGTTCCTTGAGAAGGTTGGGAATAAACGTTTGTTTTGTTCCTAATAGGGAGTCTTTGCGCAGTTTATTTTTAGGCGAATGTCATGATGCCACAAGACATTTTGGGTTCAAGAAGACTGCGGTTAATCTGCTGCAGCGGTTCTGGTGGCCCACAATGATGAGAGACGCCAAGTTGTACGTGGAGACTTGTCAGGTCTGTCAAAGAGACAAGCCCCGTACACAGACCCCTCTTGGGCTTCTTAAGCCCCTTCCGATTCCGGTAAGGCCTGGTGAGAGTCTGTCCATGGACTTCATGGATACACTGGTCACCAGCAAGAGTGGAATGCGCTACATCTACGTCATTGTGGATAGGCTTAGTAAGTTTGCTAGGTTAGTTGCAATGCCAGCAACATCTAAGATGGAGTATGTGATTAAAATGTTTAAAGAGAATTGGGTTAGAGATTTTGGATTGCCAAAGTCTATCGTTAGTGACCGGGACGTGCGATTTACCAGTGAATTGTGGAAAGCAGCAGCTGCAGAGCAAGGCACGCAACTGCAGATGACATCAGGCAATCATCCTTAGGCCAACGGGCAGGCTGAACAAATGAACCGCGATGTACAACACCTGCTAAGGCATTACATCAAGCCAAATCAGGTAGATTGGGATGAGAAACTTGCTCTCATCGCCACTTTGTACAATAATGTTGTGCACAAAGCAACCGGAGTCGGTCCTAACAGCTTGCTACTGACCTTCAGACCCCGACTGCCTTTAGACTTTTTACTACCTGACAATCAGCCGACTGCTGCACCTGGGACTTTAAAGTTTGCTTATCGATATGAGCAACTAATGCAGCAGGCTGTTGAGCAGATGCACAAGGCACAGGCGGCGATGATAGAGTCTGAGAACAAACACCGTCGCCCATCCACATTTCAGGTAGGAGAGAGAGTCTGGGTCAAGTCCTTAGAACTGGGACAGGAGCACGGGATCTCCCGCAAGCTCATGCCACAGTACTTTGGACCGTGGGAGGTATTGGATGTCGTGGGGAATGAACCGGATGGCCCGTCTTATGTTATTCGCATCCCTGGTCACTTACGCACTTACCCTGTCTTTCACGCCTCCAAGCTTGCACCTTTCAAGGAAACAGATCAGTTTCCTTCTCGACGCTCAATGCTGGCCCCAACCATGGATGGAGAGGTGGACATAGACTACATCGTGGATCACAGGGAGCTGCCCGTTCCAAGACCGACAGGCAGGGGACGTCCTCCGAAACCGAAGCTGCAGTACCGAGTTCGGTTCCGACATCATCTGGATCCAAAGGAGGACCGCTGGTTCACTAGGGAGGAACTCATGCAGACCGCTCCTCAGATCGTAGCTCAATATGAGAAATCTCTGCAGAAGGGAAAGCGCTAGATCATCGAAGACTGAACTTCTCAGAGGACTAGCGAAGTTATGGAGGAGGGAATGCGAGGCTTATGCCCCTATGAGCCCCTTTTTAGGGCATGCCAAACATCACGTCGGCCGCCCTAAGTGAAGGCAGGCACGACGAGGGCCTGAGGGCCCCTATTTCGGTCACCACGCAACTCAGGGAAATTCAGGCAGTTGCGCAGCGCCAGTTGGTGGGAAGAACCCACGCCCTGGGCAGCCTGTGTGAATGTACCGAAGGCAGGCCCTGGGCTGGATATGAGATGTGGGCCTAACACAGGCCGTTGACAGTTGGGCGTGAGCAACCACTACAGGCCCAGGGTCAGAGTTGTGTGGACTGGGCCTCAACCTACCGGGGCCTACCGGAAGCTTCTTGGGAAAGGCCCAGCGCAGCCTAGGACAGCACGCAGGCAGGCCACTTCCATATAGCAAAGGGCCTGCCTCCGCATTTGGCATTCGGGNCCACTTCCATATAGCAAAGGGCCTGCCTCCGCATTTGGCATTCGGGTGCTGGCTGCATGCTGCGCTAATAGCTGGCCGGCGCTCACGCGCTCACGGGTGAGCAGGAAGGAGCAGGCAGCCATAGCCGAGTTGGGCTGATGTAAGCTGGGTGTGACGCAGGGTGGTCCTTGGGTGCAAGTGGCGTCTGTGTGTTGGGGAACGAGGTTGTGAGTGAGGTGAGAGACATACCTGGTGTTGGAAGCGTGCGACATTGGTCGTATAAATTTTGGAAAGGTACTTCTCCTACAAGAAGCGCTGCCGAAATTTCTGAAAATCCAAGGAGTTTGTAAAATTTTGTCTTTCACAAAGTTCGAGTTTTCTGACTTCATATATGACTTGGTACGAATCTGGGAAGCCTACCTTTCTAAAGGAGATGCTGCCCAAATTTTATCTAATTCAAGGAGTTGAACAAAATTTGACTTTGTGAAATCATGATTACTTTTGGATTTAATATTTAGCTTTGTATAAATTATGCAAAGACACTTTTCCTACGGGAAGCGTTGCCGAAATTTTCTGAAATCTAGAGGAGTTAGAATGTTTTAGAACCATTGAGAGTTTGACAATCTGCCCTCGAGTAGGGGAGATACTGCAGAAACTCCTGATATTTTCATATGAGTGTCAAGGGTGAGTTAGAAAGGTAGGACTATTTCAAAGTCACTCAAGCACAGCTTGGTGCACTGGCATGTGCTATGTTGCAGGTTACTCTTATTTTGGAGTGATTTGAAGCTTGACTAGCTTCCAGTTGATCCTACATTGGATCATCTTCTGTTATCCTTTGATAACAGGTCGGGTTCCGGTTCAACACTAATTCATTCTCGCTACTCAACCTAAAGGCCGTAGCCCGTGTGGATTGCAATGTTTCTTTGGGGTTTTTACCCGGACTTTTATTAAATGGCCATTTAGAAAGGACTGAGTATTTAATTATGAAAGGTTGGATGAAGGTTGGGTTTGTGTGGCTAAAGTAAGGGGTGTGAGTACAAAGAGTGGTTAAAGTTGACCACGTGTAGTGTGTGTTTTGTCGATGTTGGATCGGTTGATGTGATTGCAGGTATGTCTTGTGAGTTGACGTCCGGATTTGATTTTGTTTGCGATTATATATATATATATATATATATATATATATATATATATATATATATCGTCACAAACAGAACTGCCCGGTAAACCGTAGGNTATATATATATATATATATATATCGTCACAAACAGAACTGCCCGGTAAACCGTAGGCAGAGAGAGAGAAGAGGACAACAAACGAGGGGCTGTGACAAACTGTTTCGTCGGAGTTTCACCGACTCATCAGGAGGTTGAACCCTCCACAGTCTGCAGAATCCCCTCACTGATTACACTGTAAATGATAATATACCTTAACCAAAATCAAAGTAGACTATCACTCACCCACACCAGATGGAAAACTCTATAGACTGTCGTACATTTTTGAAGGAAGTCACACTGTGATTGTGAGAGTGATCATCACGTATCTTATACCCTTTATATTTATATTCCCTCCACATCCACATGACCTATGGAGACCGTGCGTAATGTAAGGACAGTTCGTATCAAGAGAGAAGCCAGATCCCTCTTTACCTTTGCTTTTTTATAAATTTTATAGTTGGACGTTGGAGTCCGTGGCAGCCGTCAAAGTCATACCCCTTGATTTCTCTCCGGGCCCTTGATGATGGAGCTCGCTCCAAGGCAACGAGAGCCGACTGCCACCACAGGCCGGAACCTGTGTACCACCCACTCTCCACAGGGTGCAGAAGAGGGTGTGGTTCTCAACCGCCTAGGCAGTTGTCTAGCGTCGAGAGGGTAACCCCTCAAGGCGCGTGTCAGCCGACACTTGAGTGTCGAAGGTGACCATTGAGACCTCTGAGGGCCTCGTAATTATGGGTACTACATGGCACGCCATCACTGCGACTGCTTGCGTATTCATGCATGGCTAGTTGATATGACTAATGCTTGCGTCACCACAACATCTCTATACATATAAAGGAAAACGCGGGTCTCGCGTGACGTGTTCCGCTGAGAACTTTCCCGCATGGGCCCGGTGCACCTTGGGCCCGACGCGGTTTTTTGGTAAGGGCCGTTTTTTTTTTTGGGTTGGTGTTGGCACGGCTTGGTGGGCCCGGCGGGGTTTTCTGTTTTTTGGGGGGGCGGTTGGTGTCAGCGCGACTTTATGAACGGCCTTTTTTTTCTCTACCGTTTTTTTTCGCGCCGCGCCGGGGGGGCTTCGTTTTTTGCGCCACGTCGTAGAAGTTGTCGGCCATGTTCAATCAGGTAGTGAATATTTCCATGTTCTAGGGAAAGATTCATTCGATTTTGCTCATCCTCTCGCTGGAAGTAGCATGACGCGGTCGGCCATATTCAACCAGGTAGTGTATGTTTCCATGTTCTAGCCGAAGATTCATTGGATGTTGCTCACCCTATCGATGGAAGCAGCATGGCGCGAGCCGCGAGGTCGGAGAGTTATTGTCTCTCTCTCTCTCTCTCTCTCTCACACACACACACACACACACACACACACACACACACGCACACACACACACACGCACACACACACACACACAAACGATTCATTCCAAGAGAGAGAGAGAGAGAGAGAGAGAGAGAGAGAGAGAGAG